GCTCAAATAACACTTTAATAGCCTAACAATTTAATTTCCACCTTAAGTTTCCATATGAAATCAAAGCGAGCAATAAGTTCTGAACGGTGGCTTTGAATAGCAGTCAAAAGAATTGAGAACAGCGATATGATAGTCATGAATACTCGTAAATCACTGAATGGACTTTGAGACCTAAATTACAAAAAAACTGAAAAAATTCTTTAAAAAGCAGTTTACAACCAACTGACAACTTTTTATTTGAAATTCTTCAAAAGTAACACTGATAAAGATTTTAGATACTACCCAATCTTACTTCGTAATATTTAACTGTAAGGTTTAAGTTCAAAATCTCAAACCTTTTGCTAGCTATAAATTATCTTCTCAAACGACCAGAAGTTTTAACGACCTGTAAGAGATTCACAAAAAACCTTGGGACTTTTAACCTATGCAGTTTTATCAGTGACCTTTTAGAAATAGAAATGCGTTTAATGAATGACTCGAAAACTCTTAATAGTTCATTAAAAAACTGAGAAACTCTTTTGTAACAGAGAACAGTGAATTATTCTTGCAGAAGAAAAAACCAACCTGCAATAACCAACAAATTGTTCGTACAAAGATACATTATGAAAATCGGGATTTGCGTCACGCCATACCAAAAATTCACGAATATGTAGTCGTCGTTGTTCAAATAACCACAAAAATATCAAAAAAATAATGCCGATCAGAAACGAGATGAACACCTTTTGACTGGCCAACAGTGAATGAAAAGCACATATCGATAAAACGATCAACAAACTGCATTCAAAAACTCTCTAAAAAATTGACAAAGCCTGTGAAGCATTATTTAAATTTTCATAAATTACGCACTGCTTGCTGCTACTTAATTTTTCTTTTTTTTACTACTTCTTAACTTTTACTCTTTTTTTTCTTGTTTTAAAATTATTTAAATTTAAAAAAAAAAAAAAACTGTTGAAAAAAATTACTTCAATTCCAAAAGCACTGATGTTTCCTTCTTTGCATATACTGGAGACTGTTACATTTGGTGATGTACACGCAAACGTACATTCTGTATTGCTGTTCTAAATAGTAAAAACTTTCTTCTTAAATTTTAAACCTTTAATCTGAACAAAAAAAAAAGCCATAAGACAAACGCAAATTGAAAATTTAATAATTGTGCAAAACCTACTGTACTTTTCTTTGCTCTAAACAGTAAAACAGTTCCATTTGTTATAATTATTAATAATCATTAAATACAGCTAAAATATGATAGATTTATTTACTGTTTATGATATACAGATGACAGATTGTTTAAAGATACATACCGGTATTTGTTGATGCAAGCACAGTAAGCACAGGAAAAGTAAAACAGTAACCAACACAGATTTTACTGTGCCGTTAACTGACAATCTGATATATCGACGTTTTTTGTGATCGTGCTAAATCATCTCTGTTTATAAAATTACTACCAGCTTTTGTCTAATAGATATTTTATTGTTTCAACTATAAAATCAATTTTTAGCAAAAAATCTGTTTGATCAACTCAGTAAAAAAAAAACTCAATCTATTTTTTGAAAAAATTTTCTATATTATTTCTTTTCTTGCACATTTAAATCCAGGATTAATTATTCATCAAACTTACATGTAATAACAGAACTGTTCCGCAGATGATAATTGTAAAAAATACTATAGCAGCTAAAGCAGCACTGATTGTTAAAGTTGGAGAACTGTAAAATTTAGGTATATTTTTTGATTGAATAATTTTTGTCAAAACGTTTAAGAAAATTAAGTAAATAAAAAAAAATCAGCTGATTATCAACAGCGGTTACAACGATACTTACCTAATGCCATCAACAAATAACGATGAAACACAGATGATATATACCGTAAGTGTACATGCAATTTGTGCAAATAATGCGTCATGTTTAAAGCTGATATACTAAAAACAAACTCAATGTTTTTCATTGTTAATTAAAATTTTGAAAAAGTATCAAAAACTGAAAAAGAATGAACTCTGATCACTGTAATTATTGTTGAAATTTATATATTTGGTGCCCAAGTAGACCAGAAATTTAAGTAGCAGTCTAAACAGCTATTGTTTTCAGGTTTATTTACTTGATAGCTGTTTTAACCTGTCAACAAAAAATGATGTTTTATAAGAAATTTAAATTTATTTATATTAAAATTTTTTTCGTCTTTCAACATTTGTAATAATTATTTATTTTAAGTATTTTTTTAAAGAACTATTTACCACTCACACCTTATCTTCCATCTTGTTCTTCTTGAATTCCAGCGTAAATTTTTTGCAATGTTCGTTACGCCACTTTTCCTTTTTGATTGCTTTGATGCCTTGCAATAAGAAACTTTCTACTTCAGTTTCCAATGGTTGTTTTTCGGGTCTAAAAAATCAAAAAA